TTATATAAACGCTGTAATTAATTGACCAATTTTATTCCTTATGTCATGTACTGGCTGACGATGAATGACCGAAAACGATCGTTTGCCAACGCGACTTGTCAATACTAAACTATTCGTTGATTGACTGTTAGTTAGCCTCTTTGGAACGTTGAACTGACATGCAGCCGGGAAAACTCAACGATATATAACATAACTTTTAGACCAATTTCTGAGCAGGATTGGTTTATAACTTGAAAATATAGTGAAAAATATGTATATTTGATAACTGTAAATGTTGCTTACTCTCTAATTGCGAGATGATCCTTAAGTCTTCAGCCCCATCCATGCCGCAGCACGTCCCGTTATACTAAAATGAAGTTCATTTTATATTTTTGGGATAGTTTTATCAATGTGCTATATATATATTTTTTCATTACCTGGAGGTCTATATAGGAAGTCTGTAAATATTTTGCTATTTCAATTATTACCGCTGCAGCAAATAAAACTAAGCAGTCAATGCTACAATTCTTACTGTCATAGCTAACGTCCATATTGCAGTTGACGCCTTTCCAACTTGATCTTCTTTGTTTAAGGTCTTAAGCAGTTCCGTCATGGCCGTTATAATGTATTGAGTAAGCTACAAATGAAAGCAATAACACATGTTAAGTAATTCGCAACAATATGCTATTAATATTCATACTAATTTAAGCTTAAAGCAGCATTGGTCAGGACAGACAAGCTTTTGCTTTAAGCACAAGCCAGTCGATAACTTACCCTAGCGGGGTCAGAAAACAGAACTGCCACTGCGACAATTTGCGCAACAAGGAGGACGGCAAGAATGACCGCATACTGGAAAAAAATAACAGAGAAGTGGTAACTCTCTTCTTTTAGGAAGAAGTCATGCCAAACAAATTAGGATACAGAAGCATATGGGAAAAAATCATATTCCAGGGATTCCTTTTGGTAACCATCTCTATTCTTCAAGCAAACACTCACGAGTAGTCAACAGAAATAGAGAATAATCTGTTCAAACCAACAGGGTTTGCAATAGTGTATGCTTGCATATATTTGGGCCTGTGAGTTTATGTGTCATGATCCGGCATACACTATGTAAAAATGTGCTCAGTATTGTTATGTGATATGGTTTTCGATACTGTCGAATTTGATGATCTTTGTATTTAATTTCGGGTGTTTATTAACCAAAGATTCAGCCGCAATTTCTGTTTAGTCGTGTTTCTTGAAATAGATGGCATAGTAACTCGAGAACAATAACTTTTCTTGTTCAACAAACTTACAATCTTAAGCAGAATTCCACGAGCACACCAGGAAGCAACGGCACCGACGAAACAGAGAGCGGCCAGAGCCAACCCAACGACGATGAGTATAATAGAGACGCCGGCTAGAATTCAAACGCAAAAAATGCCTTCTGTAATGAAACTGCGTTTTCAATCGCCTAAAATATCGCCACTTTGTATTGTACACTCACGGCTTTCAGAAAGTTCTTTAAACTTACTTGCAACGTCAAGGATAAACTGTGTCAGATACTCGGCATCCTGATTGTCAAGTTTAGCGCCAGAACTGAATGCTTTGTTAAGGATTGATCTGACGAATCCTTGAGACGTTTTCAGGAGAACACCAAATAGCGCCACAAGAAGGAACCCGATCTGTTTTTGGAAAAAAACCAATGGGTGAGATTATGCTTTTTAAAGAAATTCTTAATAACATTTTAATGGAATAAAAGATTAACATACTGTTTGTTCACTATATATAAAAGGTAAGAAATAAATCGTACCCCCAAAACTACATTGAATGTGGAGATGGCAAACTTGAACAAAACTGCAATCGCGCAAGACATGTCGCTTTCTGCTGAAACAAAACAGAAACCTAATTAACAAATGTTATTACTGTTAGCATTTGCGATATTACTGTGTTGATTTAAGATATTGCAAAATTAGTAAATTATCTGAACTTATTTAATACTCTTTTAGACCCAACGCTTAAAGTTCAGCATGTCTTAGTCGAATTGCATTGATATGAAGAGAAATTATGGAATTGCAGTTTTCAGACCTCAGTAAAAAAGTATCAAACATGCCCACATGGGTTTGCTTACCCTGAGTGCTGAGCAAAGCGAGTAACCGGTTGTAACCGACGTTGGGAGTGCGAAGCTACAGGGCTTTTATAGTCCGTACCGGACCTACACACTACACCTACGAACAATTCACATGTGACATATTGTGCTAATGATATTTTTTCACAAGGTTGCCTAGCAACCAAACGTCGCAGTATGTG